GATTAAGTATAAAGTTGATGGAAGCATAGACAAATTCAAGGCAAGACTTGTGACAAATGGGTTCACTCAATCTTATGAGATTGATTACCAGGAGACTTTTGCACCTGTGGCTAAACTTAACACAGTTCAAGTTCTACTTTCCCTTGCAGTAAATCAAGATTGGCCATTATATCAGCTTGATGTTAAGAATGCGTTTCTAAATGGGGATCTTGAAGAGGAAGTCTACATGACCATACCTCTTGGACTAGAAAGCATGTCAAACCATAGATTAGTTTGTAGATTGAAGAAGTCTTTATATGGCTTGAAGCAGTCTCCTCGTGCATGATTTGACAGGTTTACTAAGACTGTGATAGCTAATGGATATCAGCAGTGTCAGGCAGATAATACACTCTTTGTTAAAGGTGTAGCTGGAGGGAATATTGCCATCCTCATAGTCTATGTAGATGATATCATCTTAACATGAGATGATTCAAAGGAGATTCTCAACCTGAAAAGGTTACTGGCAACAGAATTTGAGATCAATGATCTCGGAACACTAAGGTATTTTCTAGGAATGGAAGTGGCCTAGTCAAAGGAGGGGATTGTTATATCCCAAAGGAAGTACATCTTTGATTTGCTAAGTGAAACAAGTTTACTTGGATGCAAGCCTGCCGACACACCTATGGATTCAACCAAAAGTCTAAGCAGAAGTGAAAAAAACAGTCCTGTTGACAAGGGAAGGTATCAAAGGTTGGTTGGAAAACTCATCTACCTATCTCACACTAACCTTGATATTGCTTATTCAGTCAGTATAGTTAGTTAACACATGAACAATCCAACTGAGTATAATTTAGAGGCAGTAAATATGATTTTGAGATATTTGAAGATGACTCTTGGACACGGTTTACTCTTCAAAAAATGTGAAAACCGTGAAGTGGAAATCTATACTGATGCTAGCTGCGCAGGAGAACAAACTGATAGAAGATCAACTACTGGCTACTGCTCTTATGTATGGGGAAATTTTGCCACTTGGAGAAGCAAAAAAAGTCTATGGTATCATGGAGTAGTGCAGAGTCAGAATACCGAGCACTTGCTCTTGGAATATGTGAGGGAATGTGGCTACAGAGATTACTAAGAGAACTCAAGGTAGAAGTACAAGCCTCAGTCAAGATGTACAGTGACGGTCAAGCAGCTATTAGCATAGCCAAAAACCCTGTTCATTATGATAGAACGAAGCACATTGAGATCGATCGATACTTCATATCGGAGAAGGTCAACGATGGAATTGTTCAACTTAGCTATATTCCAACAAAATAGCAGATTACTGATGTTCTCACTAAGGCACTTCCAAGAGTCAGTTTTGATGAATTGAACTCTAAGCTTGGTTTGTATAACATATACAACCCAACTTGACGGGGAGTGTAGAAAAAGGGATCGAATTATGTAAATAAATTAGGAAGATTACTTTCTTTATTTGAAAAGATTAGATTAGATTTAGTTGTAGTTTTTTTTTCTAATTTATTATTTATAATCTAGGTAGTTTCCTGTTTTATTGGAATTCCTAATTTAAAGGAATTCAGTTTCCTCTTTTGGTGGACTGGTATGCCAGTCACTCGTTCTACTATATTAGGATGTAATTCTCTTGTTTAAAATAAGAAGAAAATTCACGATTTCGTCATATTTCACTAACCGCTTTTTTTGCTTCCTTCATTACAAGTTTATATTTTTCTAAGTTTTCCCTACTCCACTTTTTATATAAAGTTTCTTCTCTCTAATAACCTTTTGCACACTCTCATTCCATCATCAACTCTCATTACCGTCTAATCTACAACCTTTAGACTCTCCTGGTATATCTTTAGTCACTTTCCTAATGCACGAAGACATGCTATTCCACATAATATTAGTCTTATTATCTATGTTCCATATATCTTCTTTCATTATCTTATCTTTAAATTGTATTAAATTCTCTCCTTTTAAATTCCACCATTTAGTTCTTAGTCTTTTTTTTACGTTAGTTTTTCTACTCTACTTTTTAATAGATATGTCTAAGACCATCAATCTATGTTGTGTACTTAAACTCTCTCTTAGTATAACTTTATAATCCTTGCATATTAGCCTATCCGCCGTTCTAGTTAGAAAAAAGTCTATTTGACTATTATTAAAACCACTTTTAAAGGTTATTAAGTGTTCATCCATTTTCTAAAAAGTGTATTTGCTATTATCAAATTATATGATATTGCAAATTCTAAAATTGATTTACCCATATCGTTCTTATCTCCATATCCGAAACCTCTATGTATTCTCTCATATCTGTTATTATCCTTACCAATATGCCCATTAAAATCCCTTCCTATAAGTAATTTCTCTCCAAATGAGATTCCTTGTACTAATTTATCTAAACTATCCCAAAATTCCCTTTTAGTACATCTGTCAAGCCTATTTGTGATGCGTAAGTACTAATAATATTAATAACCTTTACACCTAAGATAATTTTTATTAGTATTATTCTATCTCCAACTCTTCTTACATCGACAACACTTTCTTTTATTATATTATCTACAAGAACTCCAACTCCATTCCTATTCTTCTCTTTTCCCGTATACTAAAGTTTATATCCGATCTTTTTGTTTTTCAATTTCTCTAGATTTTTCACCTATCCATTTAGTTTTTTGTAAACAAATTATATTTATCTTTCTTCTAATCATGACATCCACTAAATCCATTGTTTTTGCGGTAAATGTACCTATATTCCAAGTAGCTAATCTAAATCCATTTTCCTGTAAAAGTCTCCTACCATTTTCCCTCTTAAACCGTTCTAGTCTATGCCTAATACTATTAGGTACCCTATTAGAGGATTGTAGATTCTTAGAACACCCTTGCTTACTTGTCATTATACTGGGGTGACATTGATGTAATGCGTCGCTTCCGAGGGACGTCCTAGCAAACCATCCTTACTTATCATTGCATCGGGGTGGGATCGATGCAACGCGTTGCGGTGGGGACGCCCCAACGAGTATATAATAGGATTCATATTTCATATGGATCCAACTATGTTTTACGCTGGTTATTGGCTACCTAACATAACCCTCATTTATCCTGATTTGGGACGTACAGTGCTGACAAACAGCACTGACGGAGTTAATCAAATGAGCAAACCAAATATGTTAATTGAGCTTCCAAGAAACACAAAGAAAGTACCTGAACCTAAAGAACCAATTCAAGAGGTCATTTCTACCTGGTTCTTTCAGGGTTTTTTTTATGGCATATAAGTATTGACACAACCAATTCAAGAGGTCATTTCTACCTGGTTCTTTCAGGGGTCTTTTATGGCGTCTAAGTATTGATACTCCTTGTTTTCTGCATCAACAGCTTTGGAGTACGATCATACTATTCAAAACTTCCTTTGTCGTGCATTTCCTGTTTTCTGCATACACATTCCTCTATCTCCAATTTTTTTGGTTTCCTCATGTTCCTGGTTCAGTGGAATTTCTATTGGGAAGTAGAACCTAATGCTATCTGACAGTTTCACCTGCATCTCCATCCCTGTAGTATTCAATAGGAAAGTGATACATGAATGTGGATATAGTTTGAAAAGAACATAAACATTCTTAAGTTGTGAAAATGACCTTCAAGTGAAAGGAAATGTAGATAATGAGTATTCCTAGAATGCAAGGAAATTGCTTGATCAAGCATATGCTATGGCGCCCTTTCTTAGATTTACTAAGTTATCTTAAACTGAATGTTAGTCTGTTGAACATATTTTATTAATACTCAGTAACTTATAGTGTTGCTGTTCAAGTTAGATGGCTCATCACATACTTCCTCGCTAATAATACTTTTGTGGTTTCCATGTGTGTGCATGCAAGCATGTGTTTGTGTGAATTTGTATGTATGTAAATGTGTTTATGCAATGTTAGTTATTGCGTGTGTGCATGAATTTGTTAGGCTGCATGTGTTCTTGTGAGGGAGGGATGCAAGGGCGGATCCAGGTAGGTGCCCATGGGGCCATGGCCCCCCTTGAAACTTGAAGTTTTTCCGTATACATCATTAAATTATGCATATTTCCAAAAAGACCTCTAAATTTCATTTGCAAACCAATCTTCTGGAATTATCAACTTTGGAAATTGATACGCTCCAATAGCTCCAATATTAACAAATAAAAAATTTGTTGGATATTATGAATAAATAGTTGACTATTTTGTTGATATTCTTATATTTCAGTCACAAATTAGCCTATCAAAGTTAATGTTTTGTTGATTTGGGGGTAGTATTTTTTTTCCCTTTAAAGTTGATGATTTTAGGGTAGTTTTACAAATACCAAGATTTGGTGGTAGTTTTCAAATACTGAGATTTGAGGAGTATTTTGGCAAATGTACTGATGTGTGTGTGTGTGTATGTACAAAACCCAAAAAGAACATCGAGGTTCTCATGACAACTTCACCTAGTGACCCATTGAAATCACTCTGAAACCTTGAAATAATTTTCGTATCATGATTCTTCAAGATCACCAAGTAATCTTTTGTTAGTTAGAGTTGTTGGATATTATGATATAACATAATTGTGCCCCCAGAAACTGATTAGCTTAAGCTTTTGGTAAAATGGTTACCAGCAAGAGCTTTCAGTGCGAATGCAAAATAACTTAATTTAAGCTTATCCTGATGGCAACTGTTGTTTTATCTTTAAGATTTTCTTTTTCCTGACCTTGTGCCTTAAATAAGTTTTGTCTCGTTTCTAGAGTGTGTTCTTGCATCTTTGAGATGGCCAACATGGTACGTTTTCATTGTCTGCTAGTTCTCTCATACACATACATTCATGGGAAAACATGTAAACATACACATGCATTCATGGGAACACATGTCAGCATACGTATACCGGCACAAATAGTAGGCAAGTGATTCTTGCTGTTAATTCTATGGAATCTTGAGTTAGTCCTTTGTTAGTTGCATACTTCTAATTTCAATTTAGCTGTAAAGCATGATTAATTGTGGATCTGTAAAGTAATAAATCCCTTTTGATTTCAGATTGGTCGGCTCCACTGCTTACTACCCTGGTGGGAGGATGTGACTGTTGATTTTATGATTAGTGGGGGTTATAATGTTGGCCATCAAATAAAGCAGGTAATTCGTTGTATGGAGTATCTCATGCCAAAGGATATAGCACAGGCATTGGTGCACCATTATCTAAACTGATGAATTATACTACCAAAAGAATAGAAAATCTTCAAATGCATCAGCTATATTAGGAAAATACTGAAATGTTGTTGCTATTCTCGGAAGCAATGCATCATAAGTTATATCTTTAACTAGAGAGAAAGTATATTATAATTTTAAAAATTCAATGGAGATTTTGGCCTAATCAATGTGATTTTTAAAAATACAATTCTCAATTGTGATGTTATATTATATATTATATATATAATATATATATATATATATATATATATATAAGGATGCTAGAGAAGAGCTGGCAGCTCTTCCCCGTGAGCTGCCGGGTGTATGACATGTGAGCCCCTAACACCGAGTGTGAAGTAGGGGGCCCACATGTCATGGACCTGTCTAGCTCAATGGGGGAGAAAAGCCTGCCAGCTCTTCTCCATTTTTCTGTATATATATATATATATATATATAAATATATATTATATATAATATATTATATATATATATATATAATATATATGAGAAATATGGGTATGCTTGGTACCAAGCACAAAATTTTATGCTTAGTAGTGATGTGTACATCCCCATCCACTCACTACCCATGTGAATTTGTTCCCACATTAGAATGAGTGGAGAGGGATTTGACACGCTCACTACCAAGCATAACTTGTGCTTGGTACCAGCATACCCAGTAATTTTTCTCTTATCTCTCTCTCTCCTAATATCTATATATATTATATATATAGATATATATATATATTATATATATATATATACTAATATATAATATATAAGATAGGATGATGGTATGAGATTGGACTTATTTGCCCTATAATAACTATTAGGAAATAGAGTGCTAGGTCACCTTTGATCGTGACTAGCAGTGAGCGCTCACCACATGCTATCGCCTTGGTAACCATTTAACAAAATGCAGCCGCCCACTTATTCCTTTATTTCCATAAATATATATATATATATATACTATCATATATATCACTTAACTATACATAATATAGTATTAATATATTCAATCTATATATATATATATATAAAAATACTAATATACTTAATAGATAGATATATATATATATATATATATATATATATAGTGATATATAGTTATACATTGTGGTATATTACATATACATATACTTGTATGTATGTAATAGAATGCGAAAACACAAACGATACATTTAATTTGAAATAATAGATGCCAAACACACCCAAATGATACTTAAGGGCTTCATACCTCAAAGGGGCAAATCACATGCCAGAGAACACTTCACATGCTCAAGAAAGAATTCCCATAGTTCATTTCTTTTATTAATCAATGTCTGATTTGTCTGAGAGAATTACAACTTTCTTTATAGAGAAAACAAAGTCTTGATAGCAAATCAAATCCTTATCAAATAATAATAAAAGGTAAAAAACAATAAAAACTCTAACAAAATGAAATCTCAGAGATACTAAAAATCATAAATCAAGTCCTAAGGAAATCTTATCTAAAAACGGAGATTACATCAAATATTATTAAAATAATAAAGATTCTAGTAAGTCCTAAAACTTTTGATCAACGGCCACTAATAATCCTTCTTCACTACCGTTTACGAATTTCCCTTAGGGGGGGGTTATTGGTTGGGACAAATTGGAGCTAAGTGGGAAAAGTGTTTCAACGGAACAATTTTACCCTTTTGGGATATTTTGAGTGGGGTAAAGTGGGATAAAGTGGGATAATGGGATAATTTCAGCATTTGATTTGACAATTCATGTGGGATAATTGATGATGTGGTACCTTATTAAAATATAATTTTATCTATTAATTATTTCTAAATTAACTTATCCAATTGGTTTAGTATATTATTTAGTATATTATTATAATATAAATATTATTTTACTTTATATTAAAATATAATATATTGTACTATACTTACAAATTACTATTATTAATTATTATATTGTATTGTATTATATTATATTAGCATGCTATACTATATATAATAATCATAATATTAATATATATCAATATATTTAATAATATTTTAGATAATATATATGTTATATAATACACTTATGATTTATATACAAAAAATATAATATGCTATACAATAATTATCTATTAACATTATATTATATGCTAGCATATTATATAACTAACTGATATTAATTATATGAATAATATATTTAATATAATATTTTAATATATCATAATTTAATTTATATATTGATGATATATAGTATCCATAAAGTATAATTGTACTTTATCATAAATATATTAATATTTTACTTTATTCAATTGTAAATATTTTTAAAATATTATATTAAAAATTATTACTTATATTATATATATATATAACTTATATATATATATATCTATATATATAACATGATAATTACAATAATATATATTAATAGGTATCATGTTACTCAGTTATAATATATCTATATTATTTCAACTATTAGTATTATAAAATAGTTATATCATAATATTTTACTAATATTTTATAATTATTTAATATATTTATAAAGATACTGTGCATATATATAATAACTCATACTAATTTTTATAAATATTATATAATAATATATTATACTAGATAATATATGATCATTACATATATATATTTATAATAATACATTATACTATAATTTCTAATTAATATATCAGATGAGTATATTACATACATATATTAATATAGTGTTTATCTAAGAATATTATATATATGTTATTAAAATTTTAATATATGTTATTAAAATATTATATGATATTATAATAAATACGTTATACTATAATTACTAATTAATATTATATAATAATATATTACATAATATTATTAATATATGTTATTAAAATATTATATAATATTATAATAAATACGTTATACTATAATTACTATTATATAATATTATTAATATATGTTATTAAATTATGTTATTAAAATATTAATATATGATATTTTATATATCATATCATATATTTATAATATAATTAGCATGTATTAGTTAAGTAATACCAAAATATTTTAAAATTATCCTAATTGCCTTCAAAGTGGAACAACATTGTTCCAATATGGAGGATGGGGTAAATTTGGGGTAATTATGAGGAATGGATAGATGGGATCTTTATATAGTTGGTGTAATTTAGAGGAAAGTGGAGTATTTGTCCCCCAATTATCCCAACAAACCAATAACACCACAAAGTTACTCCAGTTCCAATTACCCCAATGAATAACATCAAAAAGTGATGTTCCAAAAATTATTCCATTATCCCCCAAATTACACCAATGAATAACCCCCCTTAACACTTACCCTTACCTTTACCTGTAAAGGCGTAGAGCCAGGAACTTTATAATAGTGTTGTCATGTGAATGTCTATAAAAACCAATATTCCAATTTTTCTCGCACATATCATATATTTCACTAAGTATAATTACAATTGATCCTACATCTTCATGTTTGATAAAGTTGCATTATAGTTTGATTCAAAATAGCACCAAATACATCTTCTTCAGTGTAATTTACTAAAGTGTCGTGCATCCACAGATCTCTCTTTCAATTATGCAGACGATTCTTTACAATTTTCATTGCAGCAAATGATCTTTCAGCGGAAGTTGTTATAATTGATGATATTAATTCTAAGTTACTAAGAAAATATATCATGAATGCACAACAATTTTTTTGTTTATAATAAAGTAATGCTCTCTTTGATACATATAGCCTTTTAAATTAATAGGTCATCTTTATGTAGAATCACTTTATTTTGGGCTAGGGCAATTTGGAGTTAGTAGGTCACGCATTTTGGTTTAATGGTAGCACTTTGTAATTGGTCATATATTAAGCTATGTTTTCTTTTATAATATACAGTGGTGTCACGTGACACCACCCTATTGTATGTAGAACAGCCCATACCCTACCTGTACTCGTTTCCAATGTAACATATGTATGTATGTATGTACGTTTCATGCGTGCTTACATGCATTTGTCTATATATCTATTCACACAGAGACACACATTCGTTCAACGTTTTAACTGTGGAATGTTAATGTCGAAGGTATCCTAACATTATATTTAGACAAAAAGTATGCCAGTATTTTCTCTGACACTTATGTTAAATAATTATGCATAATGTTTATTTTATTGCGACATCCCTTGCCTATGGTCCCTTAGGATTCACCAAGCCTGCATGCCAATGTTCTGCGTATATGTGTAAGTGTCTGCACTTCTATTATTGTCATTGCCACACCCTTGGCCCGCAAGCCCATTGGCCCGATGTAAATCGTGGGACTCACTGAGTGCAACACATGGTTCTGCTCAATCGACTACCAAAATTGACTAGTCAATGTTATAGTAGCCTCTCAAGGCCAATCATTTAAATCATTCAATCATTCAATCAATATCCGATGTGGAACTATATATTAGGGTCTCATAATCACCCCACCTTAAATACGCGACATGCTCGTCACGACATGATATTAGTCCGTTCTAATATCACCACCAGGTAATGTGAACTTTAGAGGTGGCTCCAACGGCCTCGATGTAGCACTTAGTCAGTATAACACTTAGTTCCATATTTCCGGCTGGCTAACTGCTCTGATTCTATTTATCAAACCCCTGGGCCGCAAGCCCGTTAGTGTGGTATAAGTCGTAGCACCCCTGGAGTGTGACACATAGTTGGCTCAATCCACTATGAAAATTGACTAGTTAATGTTACACTTGGTTCTCAAGGTCCTTCATTTAAACCATTCAATCATTCCATCAATATTTGATGTGGAAAACTATATCTTGGGGTATCACAATCATGTTTGTATCACATATGTATCTCTGTCCTTGGTAGCCTAGGCTCTTGAAGGTTCATTGTATCCATGCATTTGGGCTTGCTGTTTTTGTTTCCCATGTTTGTTCTGCATAAATAGTTTGAAATATTAAATTCATTCATTTGATTCCATGTTGTGAATAGTATTATCAAGATCAGTAGCTTCCATGTTATGGTTTGAAATACTATTATCAAGTTCAGTAGCTTTCATTTGTTTTATGTTATTGAAGTTCAATAGTGAATAGTATTATCAAAGTAATAATTACTTTCCATGTTATGAATATGAAAGGATACACAACTTTGTAAGCATCCATGACGAGAATAATTGTGGTTTCTACAGGTTAAACAGAAAACACTTATCATATGGGGAGAGAATGATCAAGTTATCAGTAATATACTAGCCCAGGTTTGTTTCTCTCTAAAATCCAACTTTCATGTACTTAGTCGGTGTGAAAAATCTAGAAGAAGTGTACTGTACTGTACTTAGTCAGTGTGATAATACCCAAAAAGAAGTAATGGGCATCTAGAAGAAGTGTACTGTACTATTTGAGGAGGTATTACAGTCTCAGTAAAAGTGAACTAGTAGAAACGATGAGAACAAATATTGATAAGTGCGAGATTTAGATAAATATCGTCGTCTCGAAATTGTAGAGTTGAAAATGTTACCGTCTTGATTATCGACCAGATTCACTGGCTCCTCTATCCGTTTGCTGTCGAACCCTTGATTGCCAAGAGGAAATGAGAGTACAATTCACAACTCAAACATCTCTAACTCACAATTTTAGCATTTTGTAGGATCGATTTCTCTCTATTTTTACATCACGGTTTCATTAGGATGAGTGAGTTTCTAAAATAGACTGCTCGCTTGCACTTTATCCCACGATATTGTGCTCTCTAAATGATGGGTTTAGTGGGCTAGTTGTTTTACTGCCAAGAGAGTGGGCATGCTGTTATGGGCGCTTCAACTCTCCCACGTCCTACATCTCCCACTCGCACATAACACGCATGACCAGCCTCCTTCACCTGGCAATACCCCAACTTTGAGTCATGTTCATACAGACAAATGAGTCATGTGACCTAGCAGATACACCTGCACTTAGGAGCTCCAAACTAGAAACCCGTTCAGGTGAGGATGAAGACATCTGTTGGGGATTTTATGAAGATTAATCTGCGGAATTAAACTCTAAACGAATAACGTCACCAATGAAAAATATCACAAGCAAACAAACTCCAAGATTTAACGTGGTTCGGCAAATCGTGCCTACGTCCACGGGGCAATCTAGAGAGAAATATTTCACTATGAATCAAGAGTACAATCCCTCCAAGTTATACCTGAACTTGAGGATTAAATCACAAGAGTAAAATACAGTGTTATCTCTAGGACACTAAAACCCTAAAACATATCTCACCAAAAATCTTCAACTCCCGTGGAGAAATCAGCACCGTACCCTCGACGGCGTCGTCGTTCTGAAGACAACAGCTTTTGAATCACTGCGTTCGGACACCCGAGCTATCCGGAATTTGAACTTTTCTCTTTTTCTCTCTCTTTTCTCTCTCTCCTCGCGACAATGTAGCAAACCCGCGGTTACTGTACCACCAAAGAACTTTTCACCCGAAAATTGTTCATATAAAAATTGATCTCAGGGCTCTCTTATATAGAATTCTCCAAACCTATTCCTATTTCAAACAGATTATTCAAATCCTCTTCTAAATAGAGTTCTAATCCATGTAGACTTTTTATAGATAGAATTCTAATTCATGTAAACCTCCTCATGTGGGCCTCATCTTGGAATGAATCCACAACAATCTCCCCCTCCAGCCCAAAGAGGGGATATGCCAATCTTTAACTCCTCAACGAGAGTTCATGCTGGCTAATCGTCGACACAATTCAGTCTTCTCTCTGGAAACGGTTTTCGTTAAAAAATCTGCTGGATTTTCATCTGTGTGAATCTTCTGTAACTTCAGCTCCTCTTTCTCAACAATTTCTCTAAGCCAATGATATCTCACATCAATATGTTTCGTCCTGGAATGAAATGTAGAATTCTTGCTCAAATCAAGAGCACTTTGACTATCAATGAAGATTTGATAATTGTCCTGCTGTAAGCCTAACTCCTGCAGAAATCTTCTCAACCAAATCATCTCTTTATCGGCTTCTGCAGTGCAATATATTCCGTCTCTGTTGTAGATAAAACAACACATTTCTGCAACCTGGACTGCTAAGATAATGCCCCCCCTGTAAAAGTGAACAACCAACCTGAGGTAGACTTCCTGTGATCGAGATCACCTGCCATATCCGCATCTGCAAAACCATGTAATACTGCCTTCGGACTTCCAAAACTCAAACACAATCTGGAACTGTCTTTTAAATATTTTAAGATCCACTTTACACATTCCCAATGAACTTTCCCTGTATTGGAAAGAAACCTGCTCACAACGCTAACTGCATGAGCTATATCTGGCTGAGTGGAAACCATGACATACATCAAACTCCCTACAGCGGAAGAGTAAGGAATATTCTCTATCTTACTCTTTTCCTCATTTGTAGTCGAGCAAAATTTCTTGCTAAGCTTCAAATGACCTGCAAGAGGAGTACTGACTGACTTGACATCTTTCATGTTGAATCTATCAAGTAACTGTTCAACATATTTCTCCTGTGATAACCACAACTTCCTGACTTTCTTGTCACGAGCAATATCCATACCAAGAATCCGTTGTGCCGAGCCCAAATCCTTCATGTCAAAAGATTTAAATAACTCCTTCAACCCACCGATTATTTGATTATCCTGATCAATAATCAACATATCATCCACATAAAGCAAAAGGATAATGAAACTAGAATCTGAAATTCTCCTGAAATATACACACGAATCTACAACTGTCCTCTGGTAGCCATGACTTAACATGAAAGAATCAAATTTCTTGTACCACTGTCTGGGTGCCTGTTTCAAACCATAGAGGCTCTTCTTCAACCTACAAATTATGTGTTCTTTTCCCTTCACTTCAAAACCATCCGGCTGCTCCGTGTAGATCTCCTCTAAATCACCATTAAGTAATACAGTCTTCACATCAAGCTGCTCAATCTCGAGGTCTAAACTAGTTGCTAACCCCAAGATAACTCTAATGGACGTTATCTTCACAACTGGTGAAAAAATCTCATCAAAATCAATGCTCTTTTTCTGACCAAAGCCTTTCACCACTAATCTGGCTTTGTATTTCTAAATCTCTTTGTAGCCGTCCTTTAACTTGAACACCCACTTATTCTTCAAAGCTTTTCTGTCTTTCGACAAATCCACCAACTCATAAGTATCGTTCTTCTCAAGAGACTTCATCTCTTTCTTCATAGTCTGGAACCATCTATCATTGTCTTTATGAGTATGTACCTCCTGAAAGTTTTCTGGCTCCCCCTCTTCTGTCAGCAAAGAATACTCTGAAAGAGGATATCTCGTGGATGGTCGATGCTCTCTAGCTGATCTCCTAAGTTGTGGCTCTGCAAACTCCTGCTGCTGGTAATGCTCCCCCTGCTGAGGAGCCTCCCGCTCATGATCCTGATCACCGTCTCCCTGCTCTGGTGTTTGACCATCATCATCAATATCATCATTATGCACCTGCTCTATATCTGTAGAATGCAACTGTACTGGAGACGAAACGAGTGTCATATATGGAATCTCACTAGTAACACTCTCTGACTGCTCTGCTCTCCCGAGATCTGTAATAGTTTGATCCTCCTAAAAAATCACATCTGCTCGTCTGATAATTTCTCTCTTTTCTGGATCCCATAATTTATAGCCGAACTCATTTTCTCCATAACCAAGAAAGATGCAAGGAACTTCTCTATCATCAAGCTTCTGTCTCTTCTCCTTCGGAATATGTGCAAACGCCTTGCAACCAAACACCTTCAGATGAGAATAGGAAATATCTTTTTCGGACCAAACTCTCTCAGGAATATCAAAACCCAAAGGAATTGAAGGAGACCTATTGATTATGTAGCATGCAGTGCGAATAGCTTCAGCCCAAAAACTCTTAGATAACATTACCATCTTCAACATGCATCTGACTTTCTCCATAATAGTCCCGTTGTATCTCTCTGTAACTCCATTATGTTGCGATGTGCCTGGCTCTGTCCTCTAATATCAAATACCATGCTTAGAGCAATAATCTCTAAACTCAATGGAAGTGTACTCTCCTTCATTATCGATGTGCAAACACTTCAACTTTTTTCCTGTCTGCCTCTCCACCATGGCATGAAATTGCTGGAAAACTGAAAACACTTGATCCTTTGTCCTCAACAAGAAGGCCCACATCTTCCGCGACGCATCATCAATAAATGTGATAAAATACTTATTACCACCCAATGATTCCACCTCAATAGAACCACAAACATCAGAATAAATCAAATCCAAAATATTATCTTTTCTTTTAGAAGGCTTATTAAAAGAAACTCTATGTTGTTTGCCAAATAAACAATAATCACAAGGGGTGAGTGACGAACCTTTAGTAAAGGGAATAAGAGACTTCTTTGCCAATATCTGTAATCTTTTCTCGCTCATGTGCCCGAGCCTCATATGTCACAAACTGAGAGTGTCACCGTCTTGAACCACACTCAAAGAATCACATGAAACCTTCGCTTGAGTCTTGTATAAATTGCAACATACACTTTCTCTAGCCATCACAAGAGAGCTTTTGGTGATTTTACATTTTTCTCCACCAAATTGAATTTCATCTCCCATTCGGTCCGAAGTAAGACCCGAAATTAAGTTGAGCCGTAAATTGAGAACATGTCGCACATTTTTTATGATCAATGTGCATCCGATATCTGTCTGCAAGTGTATATCACCAAGTCCCACAATTTTTGAGTAGCTGGTATTGTCCATCTTCACATTGCCAAAGTCACCTACTTTATACGACGTGAAAAGGTCTCGATTGGAGGTAGCATGACATGTAGCTCCTGTATGCATTATCCACTCGGAATTCTGACTTGTAACATGCATACAATCTTCTTCCCTGCAAATGAAAATAACATCGGTCTCAGACAAAGTAGCTGTAGTGTCACTGTCAGTTTTCTTCTTCTCATCTTTCTTTTCATCTTTGTTCCCAACTTGCTCTTTCTTTAATGCCCAATAATTCTTCTTGATATGACCTGGCTTCCCACAATAAAAGCAACCTCTCCCTTTAGACTTTTATCTGTCCTTGGATGTGCCACGACTTCTGGACTGGTCCCTGTATCTGCTCCTGCCCCTGTTCTCCGTGACAAGTGCCTGTGAGTTATCTGTGTTGGTAGACTTCTTCCAAGTCTCCTCATTGAATAAACTGCTAATAACCATACTCATCGATAACACACCATCTGGAGCTGCGTTGCTGACTGTCACAACCAGTGTCTCCCAACTGTCTAGCAAAGAACCCAATAGC